CGATCAATTTTTTTCTTCTCATTTTCATTTTTTTTTCATTTTTTTGCTGCCACGAGCGTTGAGTAGCGTACCACTGATTGCGTATCTTGGAATCGATCTGTTGAGCGGGACGGCGAAAGCCGATATAGGCCCCTTGTATCGAACATGGATTGGTCCGAAACGCACCATTTTGTAATGTTCACCACGCTAACCAATGCACCACAACAAGAGAGGATATCACACATCTGCTGTTGTTAGTCGTTTGTAGTGACATGATGTGGAAAGAAAGGACTGCGTGCAAAAGAGACGCGGCGCGCGCTCCCTTTCTACGGTTGGAACTATTACGGGGTGAGCATCTACTATAACAGCTGTACCTTGGTGCTTACACTACGGATTCGGTCCGCACTTTTTGAACGATTTTCGGAACAAGCCTTTGTTAAGAGAGTTCGGAGAGCTACGAGAAGGATTCAGATGGTACTGTGCGCTACGATTTTCGAACGCGTCAAGCACACGGTGACGCGAATCAGCCCCTATGTCAATGCGTGTGACCGGCGAAGCTAGCCTCTTCCCTCACACGCACGTAGTCTAGTTAATGGGCCGGGGTCGTGAAGGCAACTCAAGTGGCTCATGTGATGGAGGCGGTTCGTGAAGCGTCGTGTGATGTGCTCGGTTGATCACACACAACAAAGTTTGCACATGTAAAATTTTGTCGAAAGTGCGGTTCTTCGGGGCGGCCTCTGGGTCGTGACGAACTCCCTCTTCCAGCTCCCTCCCCCCCTCACTCTCAACTCTTTTTTCGCGGGTCGCTATTTTTATCTTTACTTTTTTCATGTGTGTTTCTCCATCCCTCCGGCGGGTCTTCGTACGATTCACCAAGCCCAAACAAGCCAGGGACATCGTTTCATCTTCCATCTTCACACGAGAGAGAAGCAAAGCCTAACCGAAAGCTGAGTCGGACAAGAGCGCCGTTCAGATGCTCGTGCAGAGGAGGCAGACGGGCAGGGGTGTTGCTCCCGACGATGAACTCAAGGTTTCGCAGTTATCTAGCCTACAATAGGTGACATAAGATACCACACACCCTGGTCTGATTTTCAAAAGTCGATTTCTCCACACCACAAGGAGCGGCGGAACCAAAAATAGCAGTGTCGGAACCGTCTTCTTGAGAGCTTTCCGAAGACGTCCGGTCTGAGTCATACCTCATATTTGTATTGGAGTGATGGAGATATAGAAATCGATGTATTGGGGTGTGATATATCCTGTCACCTAACGGTACAAACCAGACTGCAGCAGAAGTTCGAGTTCGCTCCGCGTCAGGGCGACTGGCCCTTGCAGAGAGAGCAAGATGAATATACCCACTGTTTTTCGCGCATCGACGCTGTCGCTCGTTCCCGTACTCACGCTACACTTTACTTTTGCCCGACGTCGGCCACACCGTCTAATAACATAACGCTTCGGCTGATCGACGCGAAATCACAGTCGGGTGCGGTTGCGGTCACGCGGGGAGATGTTCGATGGTGTGGAATCATGTTGCGTTCGAACTGATTTCATCAGTGGTAGCAGCCTCCTAAAGTTCTTTCCTTGCGACCAACACAACTAGCACAGAATCCTATTCTGCTTTTTCCCATTTTAGTTTCAGTGGCGGCCTACTTGTAAGAAATAACTCTTGTAGGAATTCGATGCTCGCGTTGAAAGCACGTAGTACCTGACTGACTCTGTCGGCTGACTTCTATACTTGGCGCTCTTTGCGAGTTTTTCCGAGGGTCTGATATGAAAATGATAACACCCGTCGTGCCTCACATCTTGCATGTCGTGGAAGTCCCTGCCCACTTCCGTTTTCAAGCCTCTGATGCAATAAGCAATAAAAAAAAGACCGAGCTCGGGACAAACGACACCGACGATGTCCATCGGCTTCGTTTTTGGCCCTCAAAGACTACGTTGCACCTGTGTTTTTTCTTCCCTGTGTAAAGATGGGGCCTTGTGCAGCTGAGCCCGTCGCCCCGGGAGAGGAGCAGGTGGTCTTTTCGCGCACAGCTGGGGTCGTGGCGAGCAAGGTCAGCTACATGGACGTCCTCGACCCTGCGAACGACTGGCAAGTGCTGGAGAACCCGGTGAGTTTGATCGAAATCCAGAAGGACTTTGTTCATCAGTTGGTGGGGTCGGGGAGGCTCAGTAACGTGGGGCACCCGATTGCTATGGTTGTTGCATGAGAGGGAGTTCGCACACCGGCTGTGGGAGGTGATGGCACTGTGTGATCCCATCCGGTCTGAGGAGAAGACCTGGCGTGAAACTGAGTTTTCTTTAACCAATGGAGATGGAAGAAGATAAAATCGCTCAATCGTTCCCGGCGTAGTCACGCCAAAGACAACGTTGGAGGAAGTCAGGAGCACCCGCGCTCTCACTCTTCAATTGCCAACCCTGTTTGAACAGGAAACAGCGATACTTGTCCTTGTTGTTGCTCTTGTTTTGACGACGAAAAACGTTCCGATCTCTGCTCGATACGTTCTAACATGTGCATTGGACGTGGAGGCCTTCTGTAGTAACAGAATAACTGCTGTATGCTACTTTCCCAAAAAAAAGAAGGTACTGATTCCGACAGAAGGATCTTTGAGGACGAAAAAAGGCTCGCACCGACCTCCCCACAAAGGCGTGAACCTTCTTATTGGGAGTAAATCTGCATAGTTGGTGGATCGAAAAGCTGCATATTTTGATATTTTGTCCAAAGGCTGGGGTTAGGGATACAGACCCTATTGATGAAACTCCGCGGCAGAGGAAAGCATGATCGTACCGGAGGCAGGCACAGCGAGCGACGGTCATATCTAACTAGAGAGGGAGATGATCGGAACCATACAGGGCTAAATTTAACCACAGAAACCCGTATACAACTGCCAGCAGTATGGTCCGGGTGACATAGTTCGGCGCAAACGGATTTTTTTACGCGGGCATCGACCTCGAGGCGTCACGCTGATTGGCCACCGCCACCGAGTTCCTTGTTCTGGCCGCTCAAGCTTAGAGCGCCGCCCGGCTGTTGGTGATGTTGTTACTACGGGTAGCAAGAGTGATCCGTCCTAGAAAGGGATGCGTTGTCACAGGGTACTTGTAGGTAAGCAAGGCGCCCTCCCGCACACCCGGCCCGCGGCCACCAGCCCACTCCCGTCTTCCACCCTCGCCGGCTAATTGGTTTTCCCCTCGAACGCAGCACGAGAACGACGCCGCTCCCCTAACCTGCCAGTTCAACCGCCGAGGGACCCATTTCGCTGTGGGTGATGAGGCCGGTCGAGTCGACCTCTGGAGCTTCGTGCCGATACGGATGTACGTCAAGTCGCTCGAACTTACTCACGACCTTCTCGACAAGATATTCCCGCCAGCGACCCTGTCCGTCGACAGCGCTGTTACCACCCCTGCCGCCGCCGCCGCCGTCGCCTCCGAGAAGTCAGGAGCAAGGGCGGCGGCCAAGGACAGGGAGGACGTGGACCACGGGTGGTCTACGACGAGCGTCGGTTGGTCAAGGTGAATGCTACTGGTGGTGCGTCACGGCATTTTGCGTTTCGTCGTCGTGAGGTTAGAGACCCGCTCGCATTTGTGGAGGTTAATACGATGACATCAATGGGCATGGCCTGTACCCGGTATTGCTGTGGGTCGCCCTCTAGTTGCCGGGGGCCCGCCTGCTGCTGTTGGTTTGACGGCACCCCAGCGCCAGGTATCACGCGGCAAGAGAAGACGCCTACAGACCTTGCTTAGCTCGTGCTGGAGATCCGCATTTCGCTTCTATTGTTGGACAGTTGCACGGTATGTTTGTTGCTTGGGCGCTCGCCGTATACTATACATACGTTGCTCTTTGGTCCCCTGCTTGCTCCTTCGATCGTTGGGGATAGGTGCGGTGCGATTTGTGTTATGTTTGTTTCGAGCTGCGATTTTTGTGACGACCGTTTGTTGTGTCGCAGATGCTCGCGATACATGGTAGCGGCGTACGTCCAGAAGAGGAAGACTTGGCCAGATGGGGAGGAAGTGCTCTTGCCGGGCCTGGTCTTGCTGTGGGACATTGTGGAGGAAGAGGTAAACCAGGCCTGTCGTCCGGCCCGATAATCTGTTTTGTTGCTGTGGCGGTCGTGTTGATGATGCTATTGCTGTTGGGTCTGGTTGTGGTCTTGTCGATGTCAGGGTCGGTGGTTGTTGTCGGGATTTTCGTTGTTGGCAGAGACGCTGTTGTTGTGCTTTCGGCGCTTGCTGTCGCCCCTGTCGCGAATTTGTTGTTGTTGCTCTGGGCAACATTACACCATGGGTCTCCCATACCCGTGTTGGCATGCTGGCTCGAGCAAGGCAATCCCATACACCGCCGATTCCAGTTATATGCACTCTTCGATACCGCTTGCTGTTGGTTGATTTGTTTGCAATTGGATTTTTAGGTCCGGTGACCATGTTGTCGTCGTGGTTATTTCATTCGACGTTCGACACTGCACAGCTTCCACTACAACACGTTGTGAAAGCACTCAACACAGCCACAAAACAAGCAGCGAAACGAAACAGTGCCCGTGCTCTCAACGCGATGATGCATTTCCCTATGTCCCTAAACCTCTAGGAAGTTCTTAGCAACCGTCTCGACCCAATCTAGGTGTTGCCGTTGCCGTCTGCGCTTTGTTTGCCCTTTGGTTACACATCAGGTGGAGGGATGCCTGCGACTGCCTTCCCGCGTCGTGCACGCCTCCCTCTCGCCGTCCAACCCTCGCTGTGGAAGCGTATGCTGCGCCGACGGAAGTTCTTTTCTCGCCGATTTTCCTTCTGCAGCCACTACAGCAACTGCGACGGCCACAGCCCTCGCCACGGCTACAAACTGCGGTACCCATGACGACGCTGCCGCGCCAGTTCAAACCCCGGGGGTGGGGTTGTCCTTTGGAGAGGGCGAAGGGGAAGAGCAGCAGCAGCAGCAGCCGCAGCAGCAGCTTGAGCAGGATCAGAAGCCACAGCAGGTGGACACAGATGACTGTATCAGCGATGCGAGAGCGAAGTCGCCGGGGGCGGAGGGGATGATGATTTCAGGTGGGGCTGGAGGTGTGTCCCGGGCATACGGCCGCGCTGCCGTTACTGTCGCTGGAAACGGCGTTACGGACGAAAATGACGATGGTGCCATGGACGTTGACGACGGAAAAGAAGCTAGGAGTGAAAGCGAAGCTGACACCAACGTTAGCAGCAACAACGTTAGCAGCACAGGCAGGTGTTGTGCCGAAGACAATAAGAGTTCCAGCGGTGGTGCGGCGGAGGTAGAAGCTGTGCCATCAGCGGAGACGGGTACTGGTGCGGGGGTGGGAGCAGGAGCGCCGGCTGTTGGACAGTCGGTCGGGCACAAGAACATCGTCGGCAGCGTGGGTATCGCGAAACTCCGCAAGATTTGGGACCCCGCTGTCCCACGGGTGGAGGAGCTATTCTCGGCCGCCACCACAGCGACCGCAGCTGCTGCTTCTACCGTCTGCGAACGCAACGCTACCAGCGGCGGCGGCAGCATCACCGGCGAATCTGGAGACGGCTCCATATCAAGCTCAAGTGAAAGAAATTCCGGCAGCGACTCAATATCTAGAGCAGGCAGTAGCGTGCGAGGCGGCAAGGGAACAGTAGACACGGATGCCGTGCGCAAAGAAGCTCTCGTCTCGTCGTCGTCATCACCGCCGCTGCCGTCGACATCATGTGTTGGGGTCACTGCGGTCAGCAGTGTGTCTGGCGGTACAAGCGGCGGAAGCAGTGCGAACAGAGCGGTGAACCGTGCGGCTATTCAGGCTGGGAGGGTGGCTTGGTGCGACGACGGGGAGACGTTTTTTCTTCTCAATCACGAAGGTAGGACGCGAGCCGGAAGTTGCTCGCTGTTGCTATTGTTGCTCTCAATGATGTCCTTGTTGTTGGGACTGCTGTCGTCCCCATTTTTTGCTGAACCACCTAACCTCGTCCTGAGTTCTACCTGCTGTGTTACCTTCCCTTGGACGACAAACAAACGAGATCCCGATCACAGGCTGGCCCAAAGAATGTAGTATTATGTCCAAGAGCATGTTCTGTACAGCCTATAGAAGCATATTGGCGTTATTTTTTCAGGTATCTATCCGCACCCGATGCTTCTGTGAATTCTGTAACACTTTCGATTCCCTACCGTACACTTCTGCGGGGTCTGCGGCACTTCCGATACCGCACCCGAAACCTGCAAACCCTACGGAACTTCCCGTTACAATGTGTCTGAACATAAGAGGGTGGTACTAGTGTTAGTGGGTGAGCATCGGTTGGGATCCCGCATCAAGGGGCGTTGATGATACGCAGGGGGGCGAAGAGGAAGAAAACCGAGCAGTAGCTAGATGCGCCCCTTTCCAGCAGACGAGCAACGAACGACGTCCGACCGAGATAAGTAGGGTGCGGGGGGTGTTTGGCCTCTTTCCGTTCTTACAATTGTTCCCACCTCGTTGCGTCACCACCCTCGCGTTGTGTCTCTTCCAAGCTCTGTTTACACTGTTTACACTTCAAAAACAGCACACCCTCCAGGGGCTTGTGTTTTTTCTTCTGGAGGGGGGAACAGCAATGGCCTCGGTAGTGGCCGCATAAATAAGCCCGATCGGACTTTGTGAGGCCGGTGAAATCACGCGACATACACGAAATATTGGAGTTGCAACGTGCGGTAGCACCTAGTGCCCGGTAAACGGCAGACAATTGTCCCTCGGCAGTGTGCGACATTTCCCGGGGCCACAATTGTAGATTGATACGTTAACGAACGGGCGGGGGACGAATGGATGCAGAAAGAATTGGACGCACGAAAGCAAAGCCTATGGTCGCAGCAAGATTAGGGAGGAGCGCGACGTTAGCGCCCAAGCCTGAACGGTACTGTAGCACCGCTGCTGCTGCTACTGTACCTCTTTCACTACACCTGCCCTGAGACAACAACTGTTGGTGTTTGTGTCAAAACAGACAACCCGCTTCGATTAAACGATCGCCATCACCGGCAACACGGTCATCCGTTCCCACGTTGCCATGGACACGACCACGTTGGACATCATGGTGTCCATGGCAACGTGAGAGCGGATGGCCGTGTTGCCGGTGATGGCGATCGTTTAATCGAAGCGGGTTGTTTGTTTTGACACAAACGCCTACAGCCGTTGTCGCAGGGCAGGTGTAGTCCCACGGTTTGTTCGCAACGTGAGACCAACACAGAATCGAAGGCCAGGTCTCTCGTTTAGGCAGGCATGACGGACAGCGGTATGATCAGCACCCTTCGCTGCTTCGTCTTTCGTGTTTCGTTTTGATGCGCAGGCAACCTGCTCAAGATCAAGACCCACTGCGACGGTTCGCTGTCGCTGCTTGCTAGGGCAGATCCGCAAGGGGGCGCTTCCCCCGCCACCCTGCAGGTGACAACATGCGTTACGCCTAGATTGAAACCAGCCGCTCTCGATGCCCGCTCGCACGACAGCGACGACCTCACGCTCTCCTTCTGGCCATCCTTGTGCCGCGGGACCCCCATGCCATAGGCGTGGCAGTCTCCCTGACCAGGTTCAGCTTGAACCCCCAAATTGTCAAGCTCTCGGTGTACACATAACGTGATCGGTATATGGGATGAACACAGCTCGTGGTTAGAACCCTCCTTGTACTGTGCTAGAACCACGGCAATGCACCCTGTGTGCTGCTTTAGTATCGCTTGAGCGTGTGGTCACCGCACATCGTTTGCGACACATTGACCGAGCACGTTTTAGCCTAAATAAAATGAAATGTATCGCGGCCTCAAAACGATTAGGATCCATGCTTCTTGCGGCAATCGTATACGACGAGAAACCACGGTAAATATTTGTGTGGTAATGGTACCACAAGTTTATCACGGTAACGGTTTGGATGGGAAGCAAAATTCCGATTTACCGCGGTAATACCACTGACCGAAATCAACGTGTATTTCCGGTGGAAAAAATAACGAGGACAGCCATCAGACGTGTGACACATGTTTGACAACCCCACAGGAACAAAATCGATTGTAGGACGAATATTTGCGGTCATCATTAAGAACTAAACTACTTACCGTGAGCAGTGTGTTTTGTCAGGATATTGGGCGTTCATTGATTGTTTCAGCAAGATAAACTAACCGCCTCTCCTCCCCACCATGTCCTCCCGGTGAAACTGAGACCGACCATCCCCCCACCTGTGAGGTTCGAGTTGGATTGGTTGAGGGTTGGCTCTTGTGGCATGTAACTGCAAAACTGCCGGATAGGGTATGGGGGTTGTTTCTGCGGTATATCTTGTGAGCCTTTGGGCTTCGGTCCTAGCGTTCACACCCCATAGGATTTCCGTTGAACACTGGATAGTTGGAACATCCTAGAGCAACAATCTCATGAACTCCTCTGTCGGAAATTTCCACATGAAGCATTTGAGCCGGCAGATTATACTCCAAGTGCATCAAACACGAACCGACGCTTTCGCTGTGCGTGGCGCGCCTGTTTTGTACAAGCATGCAGAGATCGAAGTCCCTTGCCATGCGTGAAGTATAGTCATGCCCACCGAATGTGAAACGTGTGCTTCAGCCGGGATGCCCAATCAACCCATGACGTATCCGGTTTGGCACGGCTAACGCAAGGATAATAACCAGATTCTGGTTTATCCTTGTGGGACGTAGCCTGGGCCGACGAAAACCCGGCATATCGCTCCGTCCCGGCATTGCAAGGATGCGAGGTCAATGGTCTAACGACTTGAGCATGCGTTTACAATATCACGCCACCAGATGAACATTTCGCGGACGGTTCGGCACGATCTGGACAAATTCTAGAGTGCAAACACGAGGACATGACCCGGCCGTTTCTCCCGCCCCGGGTGCGGGCTCTCAGACGCCGTCTCTTTTCGTCGTTTCGTTGTTGTTGTTGTTGTTGTTGTGGTCGTTGTCTTCACGTTACACAATCGTTCCGATCCCTGCTAGGTACCTTCAAACATCCTTACACGTCCAGTTGGCGCAGACGCCTACCCCAATCGGGTTCACTACGAACAATCAACAGGTTAACTACGAACAAGCAGAGAGAAGATCATTGGGTAAAAGAGTTACAATAGCCAAGGGTACCCATAACCTGATCTGCAGATGTGCGATTTGTCATGTCTCCGCCTGACGACTTTGATGACCCCGATCCCGCGCACGCGCCTGAGGCTTGTTTGAGTCGCTCGTTTGTCCGTCTGGTTTTATTTAGTTCCTCAGTATTTTCCCTAACCATAACCCTAACCCTAGTGACCCTAACTTGTTCTGGCCCTTTTCCATCCAACATGTGAACGTGCATCATCGTGAAAGCTCGCGCCCGATGGAGACAAGGTGCTTATCGCTACGGCCACGAGAGGCTTGTGCCTGGTGCCCACGGAGGACCTGGACCTCGTGAAGGCAGAGCCGTTCGGAGAAAAGTGCGTGGTGTTGTCGTCGTCTTCGTGGCCATTGCTGTTGCTGATGGTGCTGCTGGTGGTGCCTAAGTGTGTGTTGATGATGATGATCGGGTACCAGGCACAGCATTGCCTACTCACGTGTTCTGCTGGATTTTGTTGTTTCTCTACTGTGGCCGCTTGGTCTTGTCGCGAAGTCACAGGTGATATTTGCTCGGTGCAAGTCATCCCTTTATTATCTTGTTTTGTTCGTGTATACCGTGTTGGACGTTGCATCCTAACTTCCGGGCCGATTTTCAAAACTTGATGTTCCACCGAAGTACAAGGAGTGTCGCCCCCGAAAAAGGTGTCGTTTGAAAGTTCTTTTTCGGGAGCTTTCGGAATGCGCAGCGACACCCCCTCCTACTATCAGTGCAGCAACTGAGCGTTGAAACGGGGCTCAAGAGGGTTTTCGTGTCGACATTCAAAATACAGCAACGTGTTTTCGCCCGTGGCTTATACGTCGTTCTAGTGTGGCTGTCCTTTATCCCCTCTTTAAGATTTACCGGAAATGGTCACACTTGACGTGCTCGAATGATCGCCTGTCTTGGGCCACATTGCTGTCGAGTGAACTTACCCCGAATTGCCGTGTTCCCGGCACATGGGGAACGCGGCAAGATATCAACATGGACCGCGCTCAATCTTTTTTCGGTGTTGCGTTTAGCGTCGGCACGCCATCGTTGACCATTGCCCGATTTACCTCCGTGTTCCGTCGTGATGTCACCAACATCTTGGGCCAAGCTCCAAAGCTTGATTGTTGCCGAGAGGGTGCCAACTGCGTTTCGGATACGTGTTGGAAAAGCTATTGGACGAGATTTTTCCAACGACACTGTGTTTGGCACCGCTGGCACCTCTTTTCCTGGACGGCATTCGAACTCTTGATAGTCGCTCCGCAGGGGATTTGTCACACCCGCGAACACCGGCCCGCAGCAAGCTGGGTAGGAATAGACCTGTCGCTTATCACGCTCCTCCAAGCATTTCCCCAAGATTCATAATGCCCCTAAATAACGCTTGGATAATCAAACGTCATGCGAAGCTTGGGGCCACGGGGGGCCAAAGCCCGTTACTGGGGAGCAGCGACTTTGGGCGATATCCACGGCAGAGGACACGACGGCAGTCGGAAGCGACGCCTGACCATCGTTGGCAATCCCTCAAGGGTGAGCCTCGTTGTCTGTTTGTTTTTTATGTGCATTAGCCTGCAGGTTATGGTGCCGTTTTGTTATTTTTTTTCTGTGCCCCGGGTGCTGCTTGGTGTCTGCTTTTTTCCCTGTCTGGTGATGTCCCCGTCGGCAGAATCTGAAGGTGGCTCCCCCCTTCGAGGGGTTCAGTTGTCAACGATCAAACAACTGATTCAGGACCTCCCGCTACTGTCCTCACTCGCGCGGACCCCCCCGTCAGACCCGAGACGATAAAACAGATCTCTTCTTCTTCGGTCTGGGAGGGGGGCAGCCCGAGCGCATAGACACGCCTCGCCGAGAGGGGGTCCTCGCCTTGGCGTGTTCCCCACGGCGCCCCTTGCTGATGTTTCTGTGCCCTACAGGCGAGGTCTACTTCAAGGAAGAGGTACGTGCAGGTAGCGCTTGTTTGCTAGCAAACCCTCCGCCGATGCCTGTTTTCTACAGGTTTTCACTTGGGGAGTTTCAAGTTGGAGATCTTGGGTCTGACGTTTTGCTCTCGGGACTTGAGGTTAGGTTTTGACAGTCCCGTCCCATCCCCACAATCACTGCGTGCATCTACAGCCGGCCCCGAAGTAACAAGTTCCACAAAATCAAATCGGTGGCTCGAACAACTTACGTTGTATACTGACTGATGTCATGGTGTGTTTGGTGTGTTTGTTGTCAACGTGGGCTTGAATCTCGCGCTTTCCCGGCTGACGGTAGACATGTCGTCGATCTGTGGGGAACAATAATTGAAGAGTGCGTTGGGTCGGGGCTCGCCCAACAGGGAGCCGTGCAAGAGCATGGATAAGGAGGCAGTGTGTGCATTCCCTTTGTGTTTCAGTGTCTTCGGTTTTGAACTCGCTTTTTTCTATACTGCATGAAACACGCAAATTTTCCGAGGTACATTGCGTATCCCTACGGTTGGTTTCGTCCCTAGTCAGCCATTATTTTTTACGTAATTGGTTTGTCCTTTTTTCTATGATGTGTGTTGAGTTGTTCCCCTCTCACGATGTCAAGCGAACTACACAGCTGGTCTATACCACCTAGAGTAGGCAGTATAGGACACATTACGAGAGATTCGAAAAGCTGGACTATATTCACAAGGTAGGTATTCGGAGAAGCCTGGTATCGACTGATATTTCAGAAAATACAAGGAACGGCAGCAATGTCCGTAGGTCGGGGTCGGTGTTTGTTCCATTGAAGAAGCTTACGTCAACGAATCAAGAGAGCCATGAAAGTACACCGCGGCAGACGACCAACACCCTGAAGCTCGCCTGCCGGAGAACACTACCCACGCTTTCACGCTTGGCCAGGTTGGGTGCGCGTCTTGCCATGGTTGTCGGCGCTGCTGAAATGGTTATTGCATCCAAATCCCATGCCTTCGCCTGGCTCGAAACCCTCGTTCTGCGTAGGTGCTCAAAACAGATTTTCCCGGGCCCTGGTACCCGTCCGGCTACGTCCTCATCGACAACAACGTGGTGAGTTGTTGTTCTGCGTTTTTCGTGCGCACGTGAATTCGCGGGTCTTGAACGATTGCGCTGGCGCAAGACTTTTCTCACCTAAGTTGCGGATGAAAAATAGTCTCAAGCTGAGCAAGAAGGACGCTCCACACAGACAGGCAGCCCCCTGCGTCAGGGGACCAGAACGGAACGTTGGATGTGGCACCGCGAAGCAAGCATAGCAAAGTGGTAAAACTGCATGCACGAAGGCAGAAGCCGCCGCCGCCGTGGTTTAGAACGCGGGGCAGCTGACTACCTGTGCTTTCCGCTGCGTCCAGAACGAGTCATGTGGCTGCTGTGGATGGTATCGATAGAGTCTTTTCTTTTTTTGGTAATTTCGCGCATTTTGAACTAATACCTCAGTTTCAAACGGTTTTAGCGGTCGGGAGAACGTCTTCAACAAGGAGAGTGCTCCATGGCGTCATGGACTTCGGCTGTTGCACAACGACATGGACACGCTGATTGCCTTGCACATATCATTTTTGTGCGAAGGATCGCAACTCCCCTCAAGAGTGACTTCCGCAGTTCGATCGCTCCACAACCAAGAGGATGCGAAAAACGACGATAGGTATACCGAAACCTCTTGACAGAGCTGGGCTTCCATATCTCCGGATCTTTGGAGCGCTACTTTCCAGCTCTCTCTCTCTCTGGATCCGTGTCGTCCGCTCGCATAAACCTTGCGCCCCCCGCCTCCGCGCCCCCATGTATCCATTCGCATTTTACCCCAGTCTCTCTCTCGGCTCTCACATGCCGAACATCTTCTCATATTTTTTGCAAATATGTACGGAGTACGGACATGTGTCCGGGCTATCGTACATTCAATATTTCGGGCTTCGCGGCTGGGCAGGATGTTTGGAGCTCGTACAGAACAGTTTTTATTTCCGCTTTCCACGTACATGTTCACTCCGCCTCTGTCTCGCCCGCTCGCGGAAACCGGACGAACCGCGCCACCAACCGTACCGGACGCCTCAATCAATCTTGCACGGTTCATGGGTCATATCTGAGATGGTTTTGTTTCTCGGCGGGCCCGCTCGCAATTCTTCCAACTCTGCACTTGGACGCTTCACTCCGCATGTACATTTCCCGCTCTGAGCGCCACATGCCGCGCACTTTCAGCTTTCTGCTGAAGCGGACTGTATTCAGTTGCAACACGATGAAAGACGAGTAGACGCCGGGCACATTTCTGGCGGTGGCGGCCACGCGTTCCTATCAAACATGAAAACGTCCATGGGTCCGCTGCTGACCCTACCTCTACGATACAGTCTTCGGGTATGTATCTGCGAGGAACCACATGGCATACAGCTTTGTCGGGCTATGTTGACACTTGTATGTCGCGTCCGGGCGTCCTGGACGTTTGTCTGTAACATACACTTGAGTCTGTTTTCCCGCTCTCTCTCTCTCACACACCACGACCATCCTCTTCATCACCACACACTCGCAGCTGTTCATGTGGCAGCTGTTCATGTGTATGCGTTTTGTTCGTCACGAATTGGCGCATGCATAGACAAACCCTCTCAGAATAAAATAAAATAAATCGAAATTTGCAACAATGGTTGACGTTTTTTTCTCCTGCCTTTTACTTGTCAACCCGTGTGCGTGTGTCATCAATGATGCTGCTGTATGTACGCTAGTGCTGCTTGCTGCTCGAGCACTCTTCTTCGCCTTTGTTCAAGACGCAGCACACTGAATTTGTCATTTTGATGTTTATGACACGAATTGAGTCGCCCTCTCTCTTTCTTCACCGAGCCATTTTTTTTTTCACGCCAAATTGCTACAGGCCCCCACAAATGTAGAGTACCACGTATCGCGTATCTTGGAATTGATCTATTAGCCGGGACGGCGAAAGCCGCTGATCCCCTTTTACCGTGCATGTGTAAAGCTTTATCGCTCGTCCCGATCCCACCTCCCGCTGGGATCTTCTGTTTCTTTCCGGCCGTGCCGTCCATCCCCGTGGCTGCTCGTGTCGGGTCCCCTCTGACAGGATTATCTCGAAGCAGAAGACGAGCTGGACACGGTGGTGATGACTGGCCCGGGGGGCGAGGTAAGCACCCAGCAGCATGATGCCTGATGTCACACTGCCTCGTACAGACCGATGCCGTACAAACTACAATCGGATACACAGCAGTACTATGCCATTCGACCACGCCGTTCTATTCTCATCACCCGCAGTAAAACCTCGGCACCGTCCACCACCACCACCAACAGCATCAACATCAAAACAACAATATCGAACCACATACATGGATGTTATCAGGTGTTGAGCAAGACCCAGGCGCACGAGGTGGTGGTGCCCTGGCAGCACGAGGCTGTCGCCCAAGAGGACTCGTCGTTGGGAGAAAAGGAGGAGCCGGTCGACGTGGAGGGCGGCGGGGACACGGGTGATGAACAGGGAGCGTGGGTCCGCTGTTGTTGTTGTTGATGGTGCTGTTGTTGGTGCTGTTGTGCTTGTTATTGTTGTGGCTGTTGTTGTTATTTTGCCTTGGCTGCTGCTACCGCCGCAGTTTGGTGGATACGTCCATACTATTTATGACTGACCTCTTTCCAGTGTCTCAGACAAGAATTAACATTGCAGATGGGGCATCTATTCGTTTCCCCTTTCTTCTTTCACCAGCACTTTTGTAGGCGTGTTCACGTTCTCGGCTGCCATAATCTCTCCATATCTGTTAGTTTCAGGCACCTAACCTAAACATTTCCGCGATAGCCTATCTCACAACCAACCTTGTTATGGATGACGCGCACTTCAGTTTTCGGTGTCGCAAAACAGCGGTGACTCTCTCTCTCTCTCTGTCTGTCTCTCTCTCTCCCTGTCTGTCTGTTTGTCTCTCTCTTTCTCTCTCTCTCTCTCACACACCGGAGAATAGGTTAGTCTCCCCCATGCCGCCCCCTCACGGGGTCCCAGTTAATGGCATTTAGAAGTGCTCTTGGTTTTCACCCGCGCTGAGACTGAAGTATTTTCATTGGTCAGCCGGTTGGCGCGGTCGATGCTGAAAGTAAAAAACACACACACACACACACACACACACACACACACACACCTGCCCCTGGCGCACAGAACTGTGGGCGGACGCCCAACCTGGCGAGCTACGGTGGGTACCAGAAAGGGAAGACTCCTGGCCGTCTGAAGGCGGGAGCGAGGACGGGTCGGGCGGACCTAGGAGTTCTCCGAGGTGAAATTTAGGTTCTGTTGCCGTTGTTGCCCTACCATGAATAACCTTCATTTGGCCACTATTGTCAAGTACAGCCTCTCCCTGTTGGTGATGTTTGCTAACCACGAGGGGTATACCATTCCCAACTGTTTGGTCTCTTTCTGTCGTTGAATTGAAACATCTTTCATGGTCGTGCCAGTTAGTTGCTTCGAGTGTTACATATCTGTGTGCGTTACCGAATCATTCAAATGCAGGGGAGGAGGGCAAGAGAGCTTTGCGGGGCCCCTGGCGCGTCTGCTGGGCGCCACGCCCGCGTTGCTCAAGGAAGCGCGAAAGAGGTTTGGGTCTTCTGGCATGTCGGAGAACGATTTGGCGGAGAAACGCAGGTGACAGGCAACTGCAGTCTGCGTCGCCTTTGGCTGTTGTGTTGCCATAGAAACGGATGGCTACGATTGCAGAATGTTCTGTTTTCCTCTAGGTCGATCCCCCTCCCTGTTCACGTCGAAACCATTCAAGTGGAGGCGGCGCGAGAACAAGGAGCCCGCGGAAGATTATTCGAAAGGTGTTGGAGGATGTCCCCATGAAAGTCGGTAGCGGCTAAACGGCGTGTTGTTGTTGAACACCAAGAATGATGGCAGGCAAAAGAAAGGGAGAAGAACGAAAAATCAAGTACTACACCAATAGTCCCGGTCCCGGGAGTTATGCGGCATTAGTAAGGTCGGTTGCCGTGCATCAAGGACGGCGAACTCGCGCTAAACAAAAGGAGTATGCTACTTGTTTGATACTCTCAAGAGTGTCAGGTATCTGGTATGAGGCCGGCCAAATCCCTCGACGCTAAACGGTCTTACCCAGAGACCCCGAGTGCTGCACTCACAACTGACATTACTTGGTTGGAACACCAGGAAATTGGTTCCCAAGATGATGGAGGATCTCGCCATCAAGAAGAAGAAGAACGACGAGGAGGCGATTAAGCGCAAGCGGAAGCTGGAGGAGGCAAGGGCGAAGGCGAGGCGTAACCGCGAGAGGAAGGCCGCCGCAGAGGCCGAGAAGGCAGCCGAAAGGGCCAAGGAGGCGGAGATAAGAGCGGCGGCTGCGAGAGCCGCGGCTGAGGAAGAGGCTGCACGAAATGAGGCAAGACAGTTTTGGACTCTGACTCGTGTGGATGTTTTGAGTGTGGTTTTGCGGACGTATCAAAGTAAGAATTGTATTCAAGACATTCTTTACTGTTGGAAGTTAAAGCGTTGAACCGTTTTCCGGGCGGTTTGCGGGTGAACGCAGGACAGGGGACGATTATGTCGTTGTTCTGGTGGCATTTGACACTGAACACCTAGAGGGAGATGGGCTGGTGGAAAGACCTTGTTCACGCGATAACTGAAATGAGTAGCCTCTTTCTGTGGCGGGAATGGTTATTGCTGGAGACGACGCTTTCTTTTTGCGGTTAGTCCTTTCCGTGCGAGTTCAACAACCCTTTCCCTCCCAACCACTTGTTTCCCGCGCAGGAAAGTGATCAGCGCCGCACGGACACGGCCGAGGCAGCAGAAAATGACCGGCACCCCATGGTAGGCGTCCAAGCGCTCTTGACTACGAGCGGGAATATGAAGGGGAGGGGTGCGGCGGGTGGCGGGGCGATGGGTGGTACTCGCGATTCTTACGATGGCGGCGTCAGAGGCAACAAAGGTTCGACTGCTGCTGCTGCTGCTGTGCCCCTCGTTACTAGCACTGGCGCGGATGCAGCTGTTCACACGCTCATGCCTCCCCCCGACGACTGCCCCCCGTCAACCGACCGCAGCAACGGCTGTGGTGGTGGCTCTGTGGGAGGAGCGGCGGCGGATGCAGCAGCGTGGCTAGCTGCCAACGCTCCTGGTGACGAGGCGGACCGCCAAATGGCGTCGTCCACCCTCGTACCTGCGACGTCGTCGTGGGGGTCCCGTGGGCTGGTGCCGGAAGGGGCTAGGGCCACCGCGAGCGCTGGAGTGATCTCAGGCGAGCTCATGCCGGTGCCTCCGGCTGTTCTTGGCAGCGCGAGCGGTAGTGTTGTTGGTGCTGGCTGGCGCCGATACGCTGAGGAGCGTGACGGATCGGCGCGCTCAGAGAGCCGCGGAGGAGGTGCCGGAAGGGATTATCAGCAGCGTCAGGATTCGAGCTCTGTCGGTGGGTCTCGGTCGCTTTATCTCGGGGCTGAGGACCGAGGTGAGCAGGTGCGCGGGGGAGATGTGTCTACGGATCGCAGTTATCTCGGAACTGCCGCACAAGTCACAACGGGTGGCGGTGGATCACGGACACTTCCAGCGGCCTCCACGATGACTGTGGTTTCTTCGGAAAGGGGCGATCGTCCGACACCCGTGTGGAGAGGAGACAGAAGAGTGCAGCCGCCGCCGTCGTCAGCACCGCCATCACATACTTCTTCTTGGACTCCTTCGCCGCCTTCGCGGACTGAACAGCAGCAGCAGCAGCAGCAGCAGCAGCAGCAGCAGCACACCTTTCACGGGTTTTCCATGTTGGCGGAGGCGGTGGCACAGGGCCGTCTTGGTTCCCCCACAGGTGATCATCCGACCAACGCTTTCGCAGGACGGCAAGATGACACAGAGTCGCGCTAGATAGTAGTGGAGAGAGACTCGAGGTGTGAAGTCGGCTTGCCTCACCATCATGTCTCGGAAATAGAAATAGAGGACACCGCAAGACCGAGCCCTCTTCTTCTGTTGCAAGGTGCAGCCTCGCCAGCCCATGGTTGCATCAACGCCGGCAGTAGCACACACAACTGTACAGGAGCATCCTTTGAGTTTGACCGGCGACTCCTTGTTGACCTTAGCGGGAGAGAGCTGACCCGATATCTTTGAGACATTTCGGTGTGCGTCTATTGGGTCTGAGAGCCTAATTACTGAGAAAGAAGGCGGGGGAAAATATTTCGCTAGTCAGCTTCCTTGCTCTCACGGGGCCACGAGGGGTGGGATCGTGCCTATAGGTTTCAGGGGTGGGGGCAATACGCATGTGGGAGTGGACATCGGAAGATGATGGTGGCAGTCGCGGCACCGGCGAATCTCGGTACTCGGCCCGTCCTCTTTCACGGTAGGGTATCCGCATTACCGTCACCGGAGCTGGATTTGGGATTTTGCTTACTCAGACGAGAAAGGGGCCGAACGCGCTTTGGACTACAGTATATACTCTTACGTTGTTTTCTTACAGTAGTTAGACAACACAAATATTAGTGTCTATCCAGGGTCAGGGGTTTGGATCCCGGCTTACGCGAGCTTTTCTTGCAAAGATATTTTTTCTCTCGCTTCAGTTCCTCGGCTGGGTGGAAAGCGCGAGTTCTTGTGTACGTGTGTACACAGAGGGAAGAGAGTGCTGCACTCTTCTCGCCTTAAAAGTCGAAGGCAAAGTATCGCAGGAAGGGTGCGTAGGGGACCTCAAGGAGACAAACCATTCTGTGTGACCACCGGTTGGAGTAAACGGCACAAGTTGAGTGCTGTGAGCGCTGATTTGAAGTAAAGACGGAAAAAAAGAAAAAAAGAAAACAGTCTTCAGATCGATCTGCAATTAATACATCAGCATCGTCTACACGCCAGCTTCCAACGAACCTTACTACAAGGTTAGGTTCAACCTCTATGTTCACGAACGACTTGTTGCCCATAACCGACTAGCCTTATGGGACAGAGGAAGTACATGCAAGGGTTAGAGCTCCGTGTGGCATACTCATATCAACAATTCAACTTCACACTTCGTTCCTCCATATTACTACACAACGGTGCACACCAAATCGGCCTCAAGCCTGGTACTGCGAGTATATCAGAGGTGGGAATCAGGGCCACATGACCGCTTCACGTTTTGTTTTGTTTCGTACTCAATACAGTGGTATCATCCTATACGTGCACATGTCTCGTCACAAGCTGCGATGCAAGGACATGAAAGAAAACAAACACAAAGACTTCTTAACCCTATGTGACTTCTACGTGCCCCGTTGGCACAGCTTCACGGGAGGCTTTTCGTTGACTGCTATGTACTTCTGATTCCGTGAACCACTAGCCCGTGGGGTTGCCTTGCAAGCCCTGTCTCCCCAGTCATACCGATACATGTGCTGGTCTGCACCGCCATCGAACCCCAAAAATCTCTACAGCCGATGCCCTCTTGTCTTCTCACGGACGACCAGATTGTCACAACTACCACGAAAAACGCAAAAACTACGAAATCCGAAGAGACAACTAAAGAAAGGAACAAAACCCTGAAGAAAGGTAGAGGCTGACGCTCAGACTCCTCGGGAAGCTAAGCAGAAATACGAACATGTAATTCTACGATACACCAAAGTCTAAAGGATTACCACTTGACGCAAGTTTCGATTCTCGGTTCTCCGACAACATCGAAGTGATGTCACATGCATTCTTAGGTGAATGCCAGTTCCGTCCTGAACAACAACTAAGGCAGCTCTTCAAGACGGACCGAAAGAACCGGGTCGGGAGCGAAGAGAGATCCTGTTGCTGCTGAATATAGAGTGCACACGAACACCACCATCACTATCACACTGGATCCCAGAGACACGACGAGGGCGAACAGAACCACTCCCTCGCTCGACAGCTCCTCGGCGTACAGGATCGTCGCGACGGCAAATGTGGAGGCTTTTCCGCCACCAAGAGTCAAGGGCAGTGGCACGTGCGGAACGTGCGTCGGGGGGTGGGAGGCAAAAGGATCAAGGAAAAAAAGTGACGTCAAGGCAGTATAAAATTCGAGTACATGCCATCACCTTAATTGTCAGGTGCGGTGAGACGTGCGCATACTCAATCAAGAACATTATCGTTACTTTTCGATAGAACATGAACATCATGCGCACAAGAACAGGTGAGCGAAACTCAGGAGCAGTAAAACGAGAATGTTCAACCACGTGAAATGTAAGAAGAATGCGGTGTCAAGGCTATTCCCTCTGAGCTGCTCCGATCAGTCAGACCGGGGATCGGCTTCATGGGTCCAAGACCTCCACTCTCTCGACACTTGCTTGCCAACGGCAACGTATAACCCTAGTTTAACTCGGCAAGGGTGGCACCCCGGCTTGGTCGCGTTGCGCCATGTCCTCTGCAGTCGTACATGAGTTGGACTACACAACACGCAGCACGACGAAGCTAGATGCGGAATGCAAATCCCATGTAGCCACGGGGCGGCACGTGGCTTTGTCTCGACTTTTACGTCTCTCGACTTCTCGCAAACTTGAGGGCTGGCGGTGTTCACAACAGCAGAAAAGGCTTCGAGGGAGAGCAAGGAAACCTGTTCAGGAAGAGGGGGGGCATAGCCAAACTCTACTTGTGACGAACGAAGCGTCAAGCTCGAAGTTCGACTCACCCCCACTGACTGAGTGCTAACCTGCGTGCGGCAGTCACGGGGAAAACACTGAATACACTCGACACCACGTGAGTATCACGTACCCCTCGACGACGCAGCTGTCGTCTGCTGAGGAGCTGTGGAATACAACAACGTACCAGACAACACACATAGACTATATCTGCTTTCCAAGGGAGTAATAACGATAGGTTTGGACCCCTGCACAATATTGTTGCGCAGTTGGCATCGGGTTGATGAGACCACATGTTCAGCTGGCGGGGTCATGCCATTTACGTGTCTCTCGAAACAAGGGTCACTGGCCACGGATCCGTTACCGTTTTACAAAATCTCTTCGAACATCAGGCAACAATTTTGTACTGTCCCAGGCCACATTCCAGCGAGCTCTACTTTCTCTGCCACGGAAATTCTCGCGAAAAAGGGACTTGTCTTCGCAAGCCAGTTGCATTAGTCTAGGCTACATTCTTCCTTGCGCTGGTCTCGGAGCTTTTGTCTCGGCAGATATCTGTCTTTGAGGTCGGGGTGCGCTTCGAACGACTGGACGAACCACGTTGACAGGACATTGGAACAGCATAGAGCCTTTGCGCGCATGTCAAGCTTCCCGACACCCGAAGCGCGGATGTTGCCCTCTTCTCGGAGCTTACCACGCCGCAACATGTGTTGAAGAGATTGTCGGATTGCGACGCGTGCTTCCTGCCAGAAAAGCAACGGAACACATTGTTTTAAAAACGTTTCGTCGCGAGGGAGGGTTGCTAGCCGCCACTAGTTAGGGCTCTCTCACATGGGAAGGAGTACGCCCACCAGGCGACGCTAAACGAGGCCGTCCGCAGGAAGCTTGAGTTGCCCAGCACAAAGAACATGTACAAGAACCCGGCGATGAAGTACAGGGACCTGGACAGAACGTCAAACTCTCCGTTGATGCGCGTCCAGGCGATCGCCGCCGCCGAAGGGGGAGCGATGAACAGAAAATAGATGGGGTGTAACGCTCTGCTCAGGAGCATGGACTTCGGCATGCGATGAGAGACGGCGGCATCCTTCGCTTCTGCCCGCTTTAGGTGACAATCTGGTGCGCCAACATCGACGTTGCTCGAGCTGCAGCGGGCCCGCCCCTGAGCGGGGAAGACCGCTGTCTGGGGCGCGTTACCGTTGGCAACAGCAGCCGCTCCGGCGGATTCCCCCTGAAACGTGGGCGGTCGTATAGAAGGTGTCTCTTGCGCTGGCTTGCAAATCCTCCGCTCGCGTGCTGCATTCACGTCGTCGCCGCTGCCGCTATCCTTACCTTGCTGGGTGTGGACGGCAAGGGTGGAGAAGGGTGAGAGTATGGAGGGCGGACAATGTCACACCCAAACGGTACCCGACACTGAAGCAACATGCGTATAGGAAATACTTTTTAGGTTGTTGGTGTCGTCGTCCGTATCTTCACACCACAATATTCCCTGACGCTTGCGCAGCACCTCTTCTCCCGTGAGCCTGACTGCACAAGAACAAATTCCACTGTGACGAGCCAACGAAAGCCAAGGCAGCACAAAAAGAAAATACACCAAAAGAACAACTCATAACCCCCCACGATGAAGGCGACAACAACGACAAGAATCTGCGAACGTGGTAAGCCGCCATATTTGGTAGTACATGAGAACCGTCTGTAGTTGCAAGCTTGACGTCCAACACCACCCCGATCATACCGGGAACCTTGCCAGAGATGCTGGCAAATCAAGGCGCTGCTGCACATGTGCGCCAACAGCAACAGCGCTTGCCCTTACGATAGACTGGCACGCAAAGTAGAACCCTGAACTCGTTTCAGTGATGACACCTGAGAGCGAGATTTGCTCGCTTATATCCGGTCAATGGCATCTTTGTTCCACGAGGACACTTTGGTGCTTGTGGCTGCGAATGCCAACCGAGTGGAAACCCATCGGGGAATAACTTCTGTCTGAGATCGCACATTCATCCCCGGGTATGGATAATTGGAACAAGTTCCTCATAAAACCACATATCGTGGCAGCAGGCGGCAAAAAAAAGAGTGGAACCACTTCTAAATTTCCCACAAACTCCTGGCATGCCGATAATGCGCACGTGCTCGGGGATAGCACAGAAGTCAACATCCACCAACGAGCTAAAACACCTTTGCTGAACCTTGCACCTCACAGGTTTTCTGAGATCTTGGTTGCTGCGCACCCTTGTGGGGGAGCGTCTGTTTAGCGGGAAACAAGGGGAAACCCTCAACAGGGGTTGGTTGCGCTTGCAGTCCAACATAGCTGTTGTTTTTCGCTTGCGCGTTTGTTTTCGGATGTCTCCAGTCGACACTGCCGCGATTCAAAAACACTCACCGGATGCGACGGCATGGCGGACGAAATGTCCGATGAGGACGGGCGCCACAGTAGGCTTCGCCCGGATCCCGTGAACGGGGGCACTGGCCACGACGAGCGAGCGCCTAGGTGGTTCTCGGCCCTGGCTGTTGCGTCCTCGGTGTCTTCGTTGTCGGCCTCGAGGTTGGCACTGCCCCTTTCTACTACAGCCGTCGTGTCCTCGCTCTCGACCAGCGGCGCGTCTTCGAGGCCGGAGAGCGGGGGAAGCGTCGCGTTGAACGCGATGTCGTGCAGCCGGCCAGAGTACCGGGAGTTTCCCTCTATCTGGCCGACCTTGTTCCTGTCCCCCGTTTCCCCTTCTCTGTTTTCCTTCCCAGCTGGGACGTGCTCGGATGGCTTGCGCCCCCACCCGGAGACAATGGCCGCCGAAACCGGCATATGTGGGTGAGATGGGAATGGAACTTGTTCCTGCTGGCCGTGTACCCGCCCGGCTTTTGTCCTTCGCGTGGGATGACTCATTATGGCTTCCTCGTTTCCGCCGACTCGTCCTGGAGAGTGAGTGACAGCGGCAGAAAACATCGGTGTGCGACAGGGGCGCGCACAAGGTCACCCCCACCGTTCGGGAATTCTGTATTTTGAACCAATCCTTTGTTTGAAAGGCATGAAACGAAAACACGAAGCAGCGATTGTCAACCTCACATCCTACGGCCAAATCAGGGCAACATGCCAAAGGCCCCAGCAAGACTTGACTTCGTGTTTCTCTCTCGAAGTCGTGCAGCGAGAATCTCTTGTTCACCAGCTACTCTATGCGTGAAACTGCATCGCGCTGATGGCGGCGCAGAAGGTCAGTGTCGCGGGCGAGCCTCCTACCTCTCGATCGCTCGTTTTCATGTGTGCTTACCGTCAACACGATGGTCCGTTGAGGTATCTGGAGTCGGATCCACCGAGAGCCGTGCAGCAGCGACGGAAGGGTGCTCGACGTTGTCGGCCGAGTTGTGCTACGAACGTTTTGTGTCGGAGGGAGGCGTTCATACGAGCCGGGAAATCAAGGAGCGCCGGGGTTTGGTCACAGCCACTACAGAGGGCTTCGAGGGTTGGTATGAACGCCAATCAGAGCAACTACGGTGCACAGGGTTCCGCGTGTTGTCGTCAAACAAAGTTGGGGCGGGTACGCCAACGACAGGGAATAAGTTGCGTTCCTGGTGACATTGGTGGAGAAGACAACGACGAGAATCTCGGTCTGTTGCTGCTGCTATTCGCGAATTGTTGGTTTGTGTGCTGGGATATTTGCACTTTGGACGCCCCCAGCGAAACGGGGTGAGACACTTGAGGTTGAGCTCTGTCGTGTGATGAACCGATTTCGATATGTCGACAGGCCCTCAAAACGTCACTGTCGCCCTCCTTCAAGGTGTATCGTCCCTCCAAAAGCTGCGCTCTGAACGTTTGCCACCAATGTAGTCTGCACTTGTATTGTTGACGAGAATCAAGGGGGTAGTCAACTGAGAACAGGGGGATCGACCTCTCCCCTCCGGCCAATGTTCCAAGCCCGTACCTACGCAGTCTTAGTCACGAGATCGTTCCAAACCCAGCCATCTTCTTCGTGGCACAGGCATGTCGACTGAGGGATGACACCGTCTTTGGCTCCATGCCTTCACGCGTACCAACTGGGCGCTGCATTTCAACCGTTGCCCTGGGATTGAAATTGGCAGGCTGCTTAGCTTAGGGCTGAAAACTGTCGCGTTCCGCTACGACAGCGAACTGCTTTTGTGCGACGACGGCGCAAGTGCCTGCATCTTCTTCTCGAACAAGTCGACGTTGCACCTCCTCAGCGGATGGAGCAACGCTTTTTGTTGAAGGTGCATTTCCCGAAATTTGGTCACGGTCTCTACATTCACGTTTTGGCAGGTTATGAATAGCAGTTTTCATCAGTCCGTCGGAGCAGAAATAAAGGCAAAGGTTGCGGTTGCGGAGGAAAAACGCATCATAGTGTCCGACAAATAACCGAGCGTACTTCTATAGGATGAACACACATACCCTACCGTTACTCCGGGGATGACGGCGACGTTGGCACCCCATACACAATGCACTACTAACTTACAAACTCCTTGCGAAACCCTCGCTCGGTATTTGATCGATTGGGAAACCAATAAGGAATTTATTAGGTTGAAAGTGCCCATAATCGAACCCTCAATGTCTTAGCTATCAATCGTGTACAATCTGAATGCAGGTTCCCACAGAAGAACACCTCAAAAGTGTAAGAGCATCAACCCAACTCCAGGCAGCACCGCCACGCCCTGGAAGGCCTACCTGGATGGCGAAGAACACGAGGAGTAGGTAGAGACACCCGACGGCGAAGAAAAAAAGGGAAATTTCCCTGCAGGCTAGCTCGACGCTCTCTGTTCCCGAAACCTACGCGCGGTCCGTCAGAAGGAAAAAACACGAGCCACGAGAACGATGAGGAAGAGCATGCGGCACAATGCTGAAAATATCCCGCTTGACTAACAAAAAACAAGGTGAACATGCACCACTTGACGCAACTGGGACGTTCAGTCGACAGCTGTGCGCAAAGTACAGACCTGCAACACTCTGGCTGGCTCGGGTTGACAACGCTACGGTTTTGAGGGATACCGTGGTACACATGCTCACGCATCTAAGGACAGGAACCGCAGACAAAACGGTCGACTCATATCAGTACCGGGCGACACTGCGGGGTCGGCAACTAAGCTACTGGCACGCAAGAGCGGCGGTAACAAGCGATACGATGACGAATAAAAAGGAGAGAGAGAAGAGACAACAAAAAGCACCTGCGTGCCTAGTGATGCGACCAAAAAGTTGCCCACGACAGCGAGTTGGTACGATGGGTTCGCCCGGCTGAGGCTGCGAGTCTGATTGAACAGCCACTTGCCGTACGAAGCCATCTCCAGGTACAGCACGAGACCGCTCAGGATCATGAAAGCGGGCAGGGGTACGTCCGTAGACGGGTGCAGTGCTGAGCAGCGGTCACGGCGGGATGGTGAGGTCAACACAGGGCAGGGGGTGTTGTTGATGTCTTTGGCGTCGAATTTATGTACACCAAATGATCGTTGTGCGTTCTACTCAGTCCCTCCCGCCCCCTCCACAGCACCTTATTGCAAAGATAAAGTGATGTTCATGTAGTCGCAGAACGGTTCCCTTAGGCGTACAAAATCACAGTAGACTTGTCCGAGAACAGGTACTAATCACTCACGCAGAAAACAGCGTCATCACGCACACAAGAACAAAATAAATGTGATTCACACCATACTCACGAGAAGGAGAAAGGAGAAAGAGGTTCGCCTGACTATTTTTGTGATAAAACAAGCGCCATGCATCGCAGAACGATGCTAGCAAACGCGCGCGGGGGGCTCAGGGATAGCAAGTCCTCTGGGTGACCCCCCGGCTCCGACAGACTGCGACGGGATGACTGGATGTGCCTGAAGAAGAGGAAATCATCGAACATTGTTGAAATCCGACACGCGTTCGTGCCACGCACGCGTACTGTCCTGAGAGAGGCATTTCGTACGACTGTACTACCGAAACCGCCTGCACGTCTCAAGAGCACGCCACAATGCCGCCCACAGCTCCTCAGGACTCGAGTTACGAAACTCCTGGTGACAGAGCCCAGGTGTAAAAAGACGTCAAAGACGTAATACGAAGATTGGCAAGGCTGTCATCGCGAATGCATGCGGGAGGTCCGGCATCCATCCGCGGCAGTTGCTGGGGGCAAACCCGTAATCCGTCCGCCTATCCTATCGCTCGCAAATACAGAGGGAAGGTCCATGTGAAAGAATTTTCAGCTTGGGGCGCCTCACAGAGCAGTGGCGTGTTGGGGGCAAGTCTCAACTCCAGACGTTTTCGGCTTGCCGGCACGTGGACCCCCATCGACTCTTTCTTGTCTCTCTTCGCGGCGGCGACGGGGACCGCTCTCTCCGCCGCGGCTACGCGGTCGCGGTCGCGAGACCTCAAGCGAGAGCCGGGTTATTACACAGCACCGTGAAGCTAGATGCAAAAGTCCGCTGGCACCTCCAGCTTGTGTTCTCTCATTCTTAAGATCCAGGACGCTAGTTTGGAAGAGAATTTTGTTCCGACTTCGAACGTGCATCCCTCCATATGTACATTTATCTATTTTCTTTCTTGCGTAGAGAGCTGTGCCCACGCTTACCACATTGCTGTGTTGTGTGCCTTCCACCCATGTCCATCCTCACATCCCCGCGGCCGATAGATACTTACGCCATGGCGTATTGGTGGGGACTTCAAAGTCATCGCCGGCAAAAGGTGAGCAAACACCTGCTGTCGTCCCAAAATAGTGAACGCACAGCTTTGCCGGCTACAACATATTTCTTGCCTTCTTCCTCTACGCATGGAACAAGTCTCGGCACCGTCCACTTGGCATGCTCCACAACAACCGCAATTCCACCCTCTACGCAGGGCGCGGACGGCTATAACCTCAACGGAGCATGGGGATGTTGAACATTCCTACTTTGTACGTGATTCTCTACGGTAGAGCTTACTCGGGTCAAGCCGTGGTCATGCCCAAGAAATATTCAACGACACATGCCTCCAGCCGTATAGCCCAAAGGGCTTCGCGATGCTCTTGCCCTCAACGGTACCTCAGCGGCACCGTGGCGGCTACGTTGTCCAGCATGTTCCAAGAACACATGTCCACATAGCATTGAAGGAGCTTGAAACCCAAAGAGGTGCCGCGTCGGCGACAAGCTGGGGCCGAACTTTTCCAACAATTCATTCTGCGGCACCCGTATTACCTGATGGAGATTTGACGCGTTCGCAGCGGCTGCTCAATGGAAAAAACTATCTAAAACTCACCATGAACAACCTTCGGAGGCACAGCCGCGGTAAGCGTCATCGAGGCCAAGAGGGGTGTGAAGACGAAGTTGGACCGAATCGGGTGCGCCCATTCCCTCCTGACGGCACCGCTGTACAACATCGCCTTGATTGAGAAAAAAAAAAAGACCCAATTGGAAGCCTCATTTAGGGTAACCGTATCGCCACGAAATAACCTCGGCGATATGGTGATACAAAACAACTGAGTAGGTAGAACACCCAGTTGTAGATTGGACAGGGCTTTAATTTCGGGATGCAGACAATTGATTGATTGAGGTCGGGGCATTTTGGTGTCGGGAGTTGTGCTGGTTGTTCGTATTTTTTGCTTGAGACAACCGATCACCGGCACAGCCAAAAATCATCGAATGAGGAACCAATCAATCAAAGCGCCGGCCATTGGACGAGACTTTGTTGGCGAACGTCAAGTCAGAAACGAAAAATACTTACACTGTCGGCAGATTCATTTGGGTACACTACGTCAAACATAGGTTGTAGGGAGATTTTACATCTTGATTACTCGGTTTCTGTCTGCTGCGGGCAGTGATCGATTTTGATAGTCTCGCTGGGAGAGGCTGTCACGTGCAAACTGATGAATGAAGAGTCTGTATACAAACACGCACGTGTGGGATATGCACCAAGCAGTGAGAAGGTTTCGACAGGGTAGTTTGTATGCCGTTATCATGGTTGCGTTCAACTTTTCGGCAGCAACCAAGATGTTTCGGTGATGACGTCTTTCGGCGGTCTCCCTGGAACATAACTTTTCATGTGCAAGATGCCGTGACTACAACAGCAGTAATACAAGATGAGGTGGAAGATCTGCGCATCAGGAACACACGTCTCTACGCTTGTCTTCGTTTGCTGCGGCTCTGCCCTCCGTTGGTACACACGTAGCTACAGTATGTGCGTCGGAAGGCTGATGGCAGAAAGTTGTTGCTGCATTTATTGGTAGTAGAAGAGTCAACGAACGCTCAACGATTGACTAGATTTCTTTAAGCACGCCAACCAATTACTGGAACTTTCGAACCCCGCCATCTGTCTCTCGTGACCAATACATGTCCCTTCGAAACTTCTTCAGAGAATTTCGATCCCATGACGTACCCTTTGAACTGAAATTTATCTAATCCGGAGTGCAATTTAGCCACACCCACCCACCCTTAGTCGCCGTGGAACGTATACCTTTGGTGCGACTAACTACTGTAAATACAAATGAAACACGAGGGAAAGGGGACGGATAGAAGCGAAGATTGTATATTTTCAACGGTGTGAAAATAGCTCAGCCTACGAGTCTTCGAGTTTACCCCCGTCACGCGAGGCAGACAGGGAAGGGATAGGAGCGAGCCATTAAGTCTACCACATACTGGGAGGTACGCGGGACGGGACGGGACGGGGGGGGGGGTGTACTCATAGTCGTGCATGCCGTAGTCGTTAGACCATTGACCTCGCATCCCTACAAAGCCGGGATAGAGCACGCCGGGTTCTCACCGGACCAGGCTCTCACATCACCAAGCGCGAAGCGCCGTGAGGTATTCGGCGAGTCGCATGAAGGGTGAGCTGCATCCTACTAAGGGTGTTCGGCATCTTGTGCTTACTTCCTTGCGTACGGATGACAGCTGCATATGACTTAATTTATTTTCTGGTGCTTTCACTTCCAGAGACAGTTGTAAGCACTGTGTAACTGCCTCGAGTATGCTTGACCATTTTAACACAACGTGGTGCGATCATCCTCCTTGCGCGGAGCGAGGGTTCTCCACCCCGCACAACATGATCTACTCGACCACCATTATGGTAACCGCCAAAAAAAAAACAGAGGAAAAAAAAAAAAACGGTAACCTGGTTGCCGAGTTCACGAAGTGAATTGGCTTGTTTTACAACGTCGTTGCCAAGCGACGAAAACCCGACCCCGATGGCAAACACCGGGAGGGGCGGCATGTTTTACAACGTCGTTGCCAAGCGACGAAAACCCAACCCCGACGGCAAACACCGGGTGGGGACGGGGGGGGGGGGTAGAGGCATATGATGTGAAAAATGCAACACTTACCAACGAGTTTGTTAGAAGTTGGAATGAAAAATATTTCGGCTGTCTTGGCCGACCTCAACGTGCCAATCTTCCCATCACAAGGCCCCCGGGTTACAGCAGAACGCCGAAAGGTCCGCTTACAATCATGCCTTACTGATAAAACAAACGCTCACCTCCGACTTCGTGCCCTTGGTATGCATGCATATATGAATAGCACGTCCTACACCCACCGCGCTTTCCGTCAACATCAATATCCACTTCAGAGCCAATATTCCCAGCGAAATTATGAGGACGAGGGCGCGTATGGCGCCCGAGTCCGGAACCCTTGCACGCGGCACAATTGATCTGGGGGGTTTCATAAGAGGGTGCATCCATGTCCGTTCGAAACCACCATCACTCCCCTCCTTCGGGGGTATCATCACCTTCTTCGTTTGCAGCACCGAGCGCACCATTCCCGCACCTAACCCAGCACACGTTTCGTGCACCCCGAAATCAGCTATGCGTTAGCCCACCTTCAAGAAGTAGCCGAGGGCAATAACGGCCAACAGAGATAACGCCAGCACCCAGTAGATCTGCTGAATCACATCGGGAATCCCGCGTCCTAGCGCCGATTCGAGTAGCGACGAACGCGAGAGAGAGCCCCACAGCTGGGCCTGCGGATCGGAGGCCGGTGGTTGAACATATCAATCGTGAAAAAAATTTAGACAAGAAAAGAACGACGAGTACCAAGCATAGTTAGTTTATGTTCAAACACGTACGTGCCTGGTTTCACAACGGGAACGTAAAGGGGACGCCTGGCTCCAGCGGAGGTGATGCCGTCCCTAGTGTCCTCGGCTCCCAGTGATGGTGTTGAATTTTTCAGATGTTTTTTTTTTCTCACAGGTCAAGGCTAATGATACAAAATCCTTGCCGGTGCCCCACACTGCTGTGCGTCCCTTACCCCCCCCCCCTCTCCCGCTAACCCCGTAAATAGGAGACACAAACCTGCATCTCTCTTTGGATAAATCATTCAGCTTGAGCAACCCCGTCGATTAAAACTGTGCCGCTTATCAGTGTGGGTCTTGTAGCGTGAGATCGAGGCGCTTGGAATATGGTGAGCAAGCGTCGAAACGAATGCGTCGGTTGCTGACAGCTACAGCACGCCAAAGAACCGCACTGCTCGAGCTGCTAAAGTCTCCTATATGGTGTTTGAGCGAGGTCGCATGGCTTGAAAGCAGCAGCAGGCAACGAGAAAATACTCTAGATGCATGCACCAGGCCAAGCCTGTACGAAACTGCCGGATCTTCCGGGAACGTTGACCCATCGCCGCCGCTTTCCATCTGCGTATCCTCAGTCAACAAACGGATTAAACGAGCTGATTTACCGGATATTTCTTAGGCCAAAGAGCAGTGGAGATTTGAGGACGGGATTTTTCGAATAACGTCCCGAAACGATCCTAAAACGAAGCTTTCCTCGTTGATTTTATGTCTCCCCTAAACTAAAAGCTGCACATTTGTGAAATCCTCATTCTTCGTTCAAGCTGGAACGCCTTTTGTTCGAAACGCTTTCCTGATGTCTAAAGTAAAGTCCTTCTGCATATTTGTGAGAAGCCTCAGATGAATCATGCCATGGGCTACCGTGAGCACCTCGCGACGCTCCACTACCCTATGAGGTTTGTCGTACCTCTGCATCCACCGTTACGTCCTCATGCCCAGATATTTCAGAAGTCGCTTCTGAGACAACAGCGGCCAACGCGAACCACGCAACCTAACACTAGGTTGTGTCAACAACGCGAGCTGAACCCCTGAGGGCATCAAATATCAATCTACTGTCGAGGGTGCGCCGCGGTACTGCTGTGCTCCTTGTTTGTTGTATCCGTAGCAATCCGCACCTGAGACGAGAGCCCCAGGGGTATGGCAAAAGTGTTGACCTTCAGCCGCAGCAAGAAGGGCCTGTTTCGTGAAAAAGAGATTTTTCGTGAACAGGAGAACGTTAGGAACTGGTCGTGAGTGAGAAAACAAGTACAGCACACCGCCCCCCCCGAAGCAAACAAAAACAAAGGGCACCTGTTCTCCGGCAAGCGGCTCGTGGAAACTTGAGAGTTTAGCACATATTTTCGTTATTTCTGCTGGGCTGACGTTCTCGAGCGCCCTGTTCGAACCCCCGATATCCAAGTCATGGACTGGTATTGCAGCACGATTTCTTCAAGCGAGGTCCTCACGTTCTGTCAACCGGTCTTTCGCAGGAACGCCCTTGATGCCCATGAGAGCAACAAAATGGTGAGGCAAATTTTCCCACAAGGAACTCTGGCTGTCTCCCACAAGGAACAAAAGCGGCGGCGTCGCTACGTCTCGTCTCGAGGAAGGACGCATGCTTCGTCACTGGCTAAACGGCGAAGTCTTCGCATCGACAGCAGCATGCATCCCCCCTTCACCCCTCGCGTCTCAAACCCTAACCCGGATCTACTCACCATGGGAGTTGCAGCTGTGGGTCGATTTGAGTCGTGTTTGGGCGGGGATCCTCCAGCTCTATCCCCTTGAGGACGCTCGTGAAGTTTTTCTCGGTCGCCATGTGGGACTATTAGAAACAGCATTCAAGCGGGTGGCGCAGGTGTGAGGATGGGAGGAACGGATGGGTCTCCTGTCAAGCATTTCAAGTTTGGTTTTCAGGGCCGGCCCAGGGGGGGTAGTTCAATGGTGGGAATGGCGCGCGGGTTCCTTAGACTGGAAGTCGCGGCGTCAACCTTTTCACCAATGAAAGGATGCCTATGGGAACAGAAACCTCTACAACGCTTTGTAACAGCGGGGGTCGTGGAAGAGACTGGAAAAAACGGCCCAGCCTCGGGAAGCCGGATTCATTCACGGCTACAAAGAGCGGCGTTCCTTTGGCACTTCCTCCCCGTGGCCACCCGCGCCTCAGCGTCATTGCTTTTTGGCGTGCGTGTGAGCTGACGCACATATCGTTTTCGGTGCATGTTTCTGTTGGGCTACTTAATCGAAGATCTGTGCGCCCCTGACCTTGTCGGTGGCGATAAACAGGGTGCAGGTGTTCTTTCTAACAACGTACGGCGAAACAGCGCTCGAGGATCGATATCGGTATCATACTTCCACGAACGGGGGCTGTCCTCCCGTAGCTCAACGTCTATTCAGTTTAGCAGTGTCCCAGGAGGAAACACGAGCAACATCATCGCAGAGAACGGGAGTGCCGTGTGTGTACGATTCTCTGCACTTTACATAGGATTCTTGGGAAATAAGGCCATGTCTCGAACGGGCACCACGAACGCAAAACCCTTCCAGGAAATACCCAAGCGGTCTTCGTACAAGCACTGGTGATCGGACAGGTGAGAAACTGAAGTTTGGACAGGATCGTGTGCTGTGCGTGGCATCGATGGCCAGACCCTCGACAGATACCACACCGTAATTGTTGCAAGGGCGTGACCTGTCAAGACCTTGTGGCTTTCCACGCCCATGCATCAAACTTTCCCCTGACTCGCTCCCCAACGAATGTGTCTCTTCTCCCAACCCTTAGTTCCAAAGCCTGCTTGCTGCTCACTTCTTCCAACAGCCGATTAGGAGCGCTTGCGACATATTACCGTCGTCAGAGAAAGAGGACCCAGACAGCGTGCCCATGGCTACCGTAGGCAGCCCCAAGCGGCTGTAAAACAAACCTAGCTAATACATTTGCGGACGACAACAAGACCAAGCATCCTCGATCCATGAGAAGAAACCATCAGGATGCATAGGTCATGGGTTTATGGCGGTCCCACAAAAAGCTGTGATGTTCTGTTGGTATACAACGTCTGTATGACAATGTACCTTTTGCGATACAGCCAAAGCTGTGTACTACCGGACGGCAAATAAAGCAACGATTACAACAATGAAAACAACACCTGCGGCCATTTGGTTTCACGGTAGGTTGGCACAACAAGCTCAGGGCTGTTTCTATCTCTTCCCCCCTGGTCTCTCTGTCGTCTCTATAATTTTGTCGCTCTCTCTTCCTCCTCCTCTCTCTATTTCTGTTTTCGCCTCTCCATCTCTGCGTGCGTGTCTGCCTGCTTCTGCGTCTGCCTCCGCCTCTGTCTCTGTCTTTCTCTCTTCCGGTACCTGGAAAGTCTGCATTGACCGCCTTCTCCCTTGCTGGAGACGTGATGCCTGCGCCACCAGCCCCCCGTTCGTCGATCGGCGAGACCTTACGTACATAGGTTCAAGAAATCACGACAGATGCGGATTCAGTGCGATCGATTTCCGATTCACGTGCGGCCTACACCAGTACCATGCTTGGAATAGCAACGAATGTGGTCTTATGCTTGCAATCGACCGGGCTACGTAGGCAGTCGTTTCACAAGTGCTGCGGATTGGACGAAAACTTCAAATCAACAAAATCACACCCATCCTGTCTCAATGGTCGGGCGGCCTCAAAACAGCGGCCGCGGCAGCACCGCGAGATGACCCGGTCCTACGGCTACGACCACAACCTCCGTCCACAGAAGCAGAACCCGTTTACTAAGCACGCGTCCCTTACCCCTGTCGTCACCCACCCTCCATCCCACTCCTCCTCTGCTGAAATCAGTTGTATGATATCGATCGCTATACAAGGAGTTACATCGCGGCTAAAGGCCGCCAACCGGGAAAGGCGAGATCAGCAAGATATTCCCTTGTACTAGAATAGGGCGGGGTAATGAGCCGTGGGGTACGATCGATACCTTGCAGGCAGTAGTCTATCTGCGATACGGTGTGACGTTAAACGCTGTTCAATACACGGGCAGCGTGCTCTCTGTAGTGTAGCTACGCCAGGCACAGGCGTGCGACGGGAACGATGAGGAGGTGTTTGTGTGCCGATGGGGGGAGGCGGCCCCTGTTGATGCCACGCACTGGCGAAGCACCCAAACAAAGCACCCACACATGAAGTTTTCCCGCCGCGCGCAAATTGAATGCGGTGCAAACACGCATATCGGGCAAAGACATCGAATGCTGCATATGCCTGCCGACGATCATTCCAAACGGCCGCAGAGCACCAGAAGCATCGTAGCATCGTGACAGATGGATGGGACAGGCTAACAAGTTACCCGACACACTCAAGCGTCAGTTTTTATCGTGAGAAGGGTTCAGCCAACCCTGTCCCTCGTCAACCGTGAAGAAGCCCAAACGTCGCTGGAAATAAATCCTGCGGGAAATATAAAAATCACAACCCGCCGCTAGGGACCTGTGAGGGCGAATTTTTGCCGGTAGAGGTCCGTGTGCATCTCGAATTGCTGTGGCGGTGGTATACCACATAGGGCAGCAGTCGCGTGGGGCGACCGCAGAGCTGGATGCCCAACGACAGCCAGGAATGCCGAGGGCGTCTTGGCTCATGGGCACATGATTCACTACACCAGCCACCGGGGAACGGTTGTCTGCGAGCTAGCCTCCATGATGTGACCATGCTGCGATGCGCTCGCAATGCATACAAGCATCGCAGTTCAGCTTAAGCATCCATTCTTAACAGCCGAGCGCGTTTGCCTCTCTCATGCACTCAAATCTTCGGCGGACCCGTCCAGTTTTGGGCAGCGGTGAGGCCGTCCAAGACCATACTGTAACGTGCAAAGGCGCCTACAGCCGCAGGACACATAGTGTACATTCCGGAGACAAGCCACATGGTGAAGACGGCAAGAAAAACCGTCCTTCAAGCCTTGGAGCCCAACGGAGCCACCGGGAGACATATGATGTCCACACACAACGCACTTAAAAACCGCATCGACATTGTAAACCAATGTGTGATTATCAACTTATATATATACAAGGTTCCCCTGCGGGAGTTAGGTCACTTGCCTCCCGGGGGCGACGCAAGAGGACATGGCCAGTCATTGGCATCGCGGTCGCATGGTCGCATCTCAACTTCATGACGTTCGGTATTGCGGGTTTTGCGTGCAACCTGCATAATTTACCCTGGAGTATGTATCGTGTGCGGGCTATTTTGTCTTCTCCCGCCGTGACTTTTCGCTTGTGCGCGAGCGTGTGGTTTTAGGCTAGTGGTGTCTTTGCTGCAGGTCCTACTGCTGTAATCCGCTGTGTTTGGTCACTGACTCTTCTTGTGTGATCGTGTTTCCCATGTATAGTCTGTGGGACTATTTCACGCACACACCAAACGATCAAAGAGCCGCACAACGTGCCCAAGAACAGTGACAGACATCGACTGCTTACCACACGTTTGAATTTTAATTTTTTCGATTTTTCCGAATTGACATATGAATGACCGCAGCCAAAGTCGTGTCGGAGGACTTCTATGTTGCGTGAGTTGTTCCCATGAGCAACATCAACCAAGAGCCTTGGTCCCCTCGGCGGCCATGAAAAACCGCTGTCTACATCTGTGTTTGACAGCTGTGCTGTGTTCGCGGTACACGCGGGACTGCACAAAACAAAAACTGCTTTGCTGTAGTTGCCTGGTTGAAGATAAAAAAAAAAATCCGTCGCCACTGGTCGAATTTCAACGGATGCCAATACGCCAATACCGTTGAATGCTTGTTGGGGTACTTGTTCCCCTTGGTTCAGTCGCAATGTACCATGTGTGTTGAGCTCCAGCGCCCAGCTGGTCTTTCAAAATCGTGCATGTTCTCAACAGACGAACAACGCGCAAAAATCATCATGGAAAAGACACGCGCAACTAAACATAACAGACCACCAAAGAGGAAAACACGAAAACAACCCTCTAAGAAAGTGTTCCAGTTCAGTGTTCATGTACATCTGAAGGCATATTTGGTTCGGATCTCAGCCCCTGAAGAAAGAGCCGGTCACGGCGACTTGAGGCGGCCAGTACAGGTACAAATGTCTCACGAGAACCACGCATAGCGGGTAATACACCAACGGGTCCTCTGAGGGCCATGCAGAAGAAAGTGTTGGAGAAAACGCTGTCCCATCAGAGAAAAAAGCACAAAAAAAAAAAAAGTCGAAATGCTACATACATGTAAGCATATTTCTTCGTTTGTTCGCCTTGCAAAGCGCACGGAGGAGGTCGGGTATGTACAGACTTTACCGCAGTACCTCGACCGTGGATAAGAATGGGTAGTCCCTCTTTGATTGTATGCGTACTAGGTGGAATGATTAGTCCCGCGGCCAGAATGTGTGGGATGTCTGCCCAGATATGTACCAAGTCGACTTTTTTTAGTGGTTTTGTTCTTTTTTTCTGGCGGGACAGCGTTTTTTCTCACACTTTCGTCTTCATGGCACTCAGAGGACTCGTCGGTACATTAACCGTTGCGTGTGCGGCTCGCTAGACATCGGTGGTACGCGTGATGGCCGCTCAAAAGTCGATGGCACTGGCTCTATTCCAGGGGTCGCGATTCCGAACCAATAAAGGCCTTCATGAAAACCGGAATCAAATTTCTATGTAGGCGGGCTGATGTTCTCTTCACACACATCACCAGTTGTTAGAAGTAGACATCCACACAGGAACACGGTGCAAACAAAAGGAAAAGCAGGGTGTGTGTGGAAGAGCAGCAATCTTGTAAAACGCGCAGCGCGGCTGTCCCACACAGGCACACAGGTGATGCGTACAGTATCCTGCTGTGGTGCATCACAACAGTGCAACAACAGCAGTTCTGAAAAACAGAACAATAGTTAGTCCGGTAGGCCGTATTTCTCGCGGTGCACACACATCACGTTCACCTGTTGTGGACGCCCACACAACAAGGCCGTGCAAACTCAACACGGTGCAAACACAATATTCAGCAGTAGTGTTGTGGTACAGCAGCATTCGCATTACATACATAGCTAAACGCGGCTATCGCAGGCCACACAGAGGATGTGCATACAGCTGTTCTAAAAAAAAGCAGAACAATTATTGGCGGGGTATTTTTCGACGTGGTTCGAACCTCGGCAACGACTTTTATTTTTTATTGCTTACTTTATTTACTGGACTCTTCTTACGTAGTGTAAAACGCTGCGGCCTTCTCCCTCACGATTAATATGTAGGTCGATTGCTATGCTATAGTATATGTTTTCGCACATCTACATTTACGCGAATATTCCGTAACGTTCTGAGACAGAATGTGCATTGCCCCGATCGTAGCAGGTTCATACATACTTCAAAGTACATATTTTAGTCAAAGCGCGATGATAGTGATTGTCTGCCTCCAAAGAAAAAGACGGCACAGTCGTTTAGGTGTTTTTAGGTTTTTCGTCTTGCGTCACCCCCGGGAGGCATGCTCCGACGTCCCGGAACGGGAACCTTGAAGTGTATACGAAGGTGTGAACGGTTGTACGGGTTTGTGGGAAAAATAGAAAAAAAAAGTGGTGTGTCCGTGTGGGTGATAGATTGCAAAATATTGAAGAAATTTGATGGTGGGTGTGGTAGTATGCACAAGTCCAGGAAGGGTTGAGGATAAACTAAGGACGGCTATTGGCACGAGGCATGAATCGTTCATTCCACGTGAATAGTGCGAACGTGGCATTGGTAACTAAATGGGGAAGTTGGAGGTTTGCGTGTATTTTCATCCCAGAGGATGTGCACGGACGCGTACACGGTTCGACAGCCTTGTTCACGAAAAAAAGGGCGAATGATGTTGTCGTGTGGGTGTTATGATCGGAAGCACGTGCGAAGAGGCGCCGAATACTTGAAAACCGTAGGTTGCATAAGAAATCACACACCCTGGATCGATTTTCGAAGCTCCACTTCTCGGCAGGAAAAGCGGCGACCGTGCCGAAAATGGCGGCTTTGGAACTGTCTCGACGAGAGGTTTCGGAAAACGTATACTTTAATTTCGGCATCCTCTTCGTCGTGGATGAATCGAGCTTTGAAAATCGGTCCAGGGGGTGTGATATCTTACGCAACTTACGGTGCGTTGATAGTCCTCATGGAACACTAATACTAGAGTCAGCGCGAAAGAAACGCGTTACGACGAAGTAACGCCTAGAGACAATCCCATAGTTGCCAGAAAACAGAAAGCAAAAGCTGCATAAACGGCAGCGTGCTCTGAAAACAAACTCCGGCTGCAAAAACGGCAATGTCGTCATCGTAGTAGACTCAGCGCTCGCTGCCAAAAATGGGCGTAAAGTTGTATAGCGACGCACAGCAGTTTTGGCACGTATTTAAAACTCAACAGTGGATCTTCACAGGATAAAACCACAGGACTGTTGGCCTGTGC